AGGGTTCCAGCGGGCAGAAACTAAAAGCTGCCTGTCTTGTAAGATCTGGGTCCAGAAACTGACAGAGTCTCTATGTCCGCAGTAAACCGGTCAAAGAACCTGGTTCTGTCCAGATCCAAGGGCAGGGGACAGGGATCCTCAGCCCTCCTTGGAAAGAGTAACAAAGTCTATTCTGTCCTCAGTAGCCACACTGTCTCTGCCCCAGGGATCCTGACGCTGTCTTTTGTTACTTCCAGGCCTGCAGACCCCTCTCTCCCTATCATGTCTCCCCTGTGTTACAGCAATACCCTTCAAACTCATCTCTGGCCCCCAAGCTCCACCACCAACCCCTTGCTGTAACAACGTGCCCTCTCTGTTGCGTGGCAGTGCAGTGGCTCCCAACTTCCTCCTGGACAATTTCCAGGGTCCTAGGCACCACATCCAAATCTCCCTGGTAATCCAGCCCCTTCCTACCTCGCCTCCAAAGACTTCCCGTTTCTTTGTAAGCAACTGGGCCACACTTTGACCTCTTCAGCTCAACAGCCCACTTATTGGCACTCTGACGCTTTCTGTACTTCCTCCCCCTACTTGCTGAACTTCCCGGTCTCCTGTCCTGTTGAACTCCTGCTCAACCTGCAAGGCCCACGCCAAATGCCCCTTGTCCCCAAAGCCTTGCCCTCACGACTTGCTCACGTTACTTTTGCACTCAGTGCCACTCGAGGAGCCTTCTGCCTTAAATTCTCCTTTGCAGTGAAGTGTCCTCCTACAGTGGGCCCTGTGTTTCCAAGTCACGTTTCTCTTGTCAATTTAATAATTGTTTATTGAGGCCCAGTGCCAGCTGCCAGGGATATGGCAGTGACCAAGACAAGCTGGTTCCTGTACCCAGAGGGCGAGACAGATGGGCAGAGAGAAAATCAAGAGACAAGATGATCACAATTTGAGAGGACTTCTGGCAGGCAAGAGAAGGGGAGCTGAGAAGCAGGGGCCCAGATCGTCCCGTTTGTTCCCCCTAACACTTCCGTGAATGTTGGGGCTGCAAGCATGAGCCCCCCGCCTTTCCCCTCTGCTGCTGCTCCCCACCCTTCTGGCTGCCCACTTCCTTCTCTCTTCCTAGTCACCCCCATCAGGTGCCCTACCTGCAGGCCCCAGGGATCCCTGAATTCCCCATCATTCCTATGCCCACAGGCGGTTTGGGCCACAGCTGGCAGGAGGGGGACACCCACTTTCTGGGACCCACAAAGCCAGCATTCATCAGCTGAGACTCTGAGGTTGGCCTCATGGGAGTAGGACACTGGGAGTCCCTAGGGCGAGTGGTGGTGACCTCGTATCCCCACACTACGCCCCACCACGCACACATCTGGGGAGAAGCCTGCAAGGGGTGGGGCTGGATGGGCAGGGCAGGGCAGGAGGCCTGGGGGCCCCGACAGGTAGCTGAGGGATGGGTTTCCAGAAGCCAGAGTTGCGGGGTGCAAATCCTGGTTCTGCCTCTTCTCGCCCTGTGACCTTGGACAGATAGATCCCTCTCCCCTCTGGGCCTCAGTTTCCCATCCGTACAAGGCAGACAACACCAGCACCCACCACTCAGGGTTGGTTTGAGGATGAGGTGTGTCTAACACCCGATGATCTCAATGCAGCCACCGCCAGGCCCTCCGGGGAGACGCTCTCGTGGGCAGCGTCCCTCCATCTGTGTTTTCTCAGACCTCTGAGCCCAAGAGGTAGCTAATTGTTTGGGCTTTGGGCACTGCCAGCTGGAGGGCTGAGCTGCTTCAGGGCCCAGGGTGTGGTGACAGCTGTCGTGTCTTGGGGCCAGCCAACCAGCCCTCCAGCCCCCAGCTCAGCAGGGAGCAGAGCCGCCATCAGGCCCCCAGCCTGGACTAGGGCGTCGAGGCTCTCTCTGCAGTAGGATTGTCTGACCACCACAGCCTCCTTCTTAGAGCTGGGGCGTCCTGGGTGGGGGCCCTGAGGCAGCCCCAGCAGACTGGCTGGGGAGGGGTGTCAGTCAGCCCTGGACAGGGGGCTATCAGGGGCCAAGTGGGATTTGGAGAATCAGGATCTGGTGGGGAAATAGGTGGTGACCTCGTAAGGAAGAGGGCAGCCACAGCCCCATGGGAGAGGTCGCTCTGGGGGCCCTCCTGCTGGCGGTGACCCCTGACTGTGCTTCGGCGGATCTGGAGGCTGCGGGGGCGAGTGCACTCGGAGCCTGATAACCAGCTGCCGGCTGAGCCCCAGGCTGCACACCGGGTTTGTTTGCCAAGCCTGCCAAGTGTTGTTGGGCGCTCCTGGCCCGCCTGCCTTGGGGGTGGGAGGCTGGGAGCGGCCTCGGGTGCCCCAGCATCCCCACCTCAGGTGCCGCAGGTGCTCCAGTGAGGTCACTGTGCAGGGGTGGCTCACAGCACGTCGAG